TTCCCTCCGATGTAGGGAATTTCAGAACCTGGTCACGGGTCGAGGGTACTGCTCTCATGTTGTGGATCCATGGCCTCCCGAATAGGGCATTATATCTCATATCGCCCTCGATCACGTGAAACTTTATTTCTTGAATGGTCCCAGCCACGTTTACTGGCAAAATTATCTCGCCCTTAGTAGTTTCACACGCCATATTGAATCCTTTCAGTACCAAGGTAGCGGGCATGACCTGGTCCTGGATACCGAGTTGCTCTACGACCCTTGATCGAATAATGTTGGCCGAACTACCTGGATCAATTAACACATGCTTAACTTAAGTTTTATTCATAAGTACATATATTACCAGTGCGTCGTTATGGGGTTGCATGGTTCCTTCCGTGTCTTCGTCACTAAAGGACATGGTTCCTTTAGGTGTGTAATCTTGAGTCCGATCGCTTCTCACTTACAATAGACATCTTAGTGCGTTTGAGCACCGACCCCTAGGGGACATCGATCCCTCCGATGATCATATGGATGATGTGTTGTGGCTCTTCTTGTTCGTTCTGTCTATTGAAATCTCTGTTTTTGAAATGGTTTTTGGCCCGGTCACTTAAAAATTCTCGAAGGTGCCCTTCATTGAATAATCGGGATACCTCCTCTCTCAACTGCCTACAGTCTTCGGTTTTGTGGCCATGGGTGCCATGATACTTGCACATTTGATTGGGATGGATCGGACTGTAGAGGTCGAGGCCACTTAGTATCTTTGATGCGTCTGATTGCCGACACGATGGCGGATGCATCGATGTTGAAGTTATATTCTGATAACCGTGGTGCTTCCTTAGGTCCGGTATGCATGTCGAACCCATTCCTGTTCATTATCTCCCGAGACCCTTGGCCTCGATCACTTCTCCTTTCGCCTCGTACGGAGTAACGTGTAGGTTCGCTACCCCTACAATCTCCGTTATACGGCGGATATCGATCCTTGTTTGACCTTAGTTCTCGGTCGACGTCCCTTTTAATAACGGACCTAGAACCCAACTGGTCGTCTTCAACTCTGATCTTCGATTGATATCGATTGTGTACATCGGCCCAAGCAATAGCCGGTACTCGATCAAATTCTGCTTCAACTGTCGTGAAGCCATCGGGCTTCATTCGTTTAGTCCTTGAGTGAAAGATTGTACAGCCCAATCATCAGTGACCGGTGGTAGATCCATTTGTTCCTTTTGGAAATGAGATACGAACTCTCTTAGCATCTAGTTGTCTTTTTGCGTTACCTTGAAAAGATCCGACTTCCTGGTCTCGACCTTTATGGCTCCGGCGTGTGCTTTTATGAAAGAATCTGCAAGCATAGCAAAAGAATCGATAGAATTAGACGACAAATTATGATACCATATCATTACCCTCTTTGATAGGGTTTCCCCGAACTTCTTCAATAGTACTGATTCGATCTCGTCGTCTTCTAGATCGTTCCCTTTAATGGCACATGTGTAAGAGGTGACATGTTCGTTGGGGTCGGTCGTTCCATTATATTTAGGAATTTCGGGCATGCAAAACTTCTTAGGGATCGGTTTAGGAGCCACGCTCAGGGGGAAAGGATTTTGCACAAATATTTTGGAATCCAAGCCCTTCAATATCGGTGGTGTCCCCGGGATCTGATCAACCCTGGAGTTATAAGTTTCTTCTTTTCTTGTCGTTTGCTTCAATCCTCTTTTCTCCTGACTCAATTCGTTTTGTCAGTTCCTCTAACACCTTAATAATTTCGGGATTAGTCCCAGATTCTTGTTCATTCGATCTTACTACAGCTAGCCCCATTTCGTGGGTGACTTCTCGGGGTGGACCTGGTTCGGTCCTGCTCGGTGCCTGGGTTTGGCTCTGCAACTGAGCAATCACTACCTGCTGAGCATACAACATTTCGAAAATCATATGCAGGCTGATCCCGTCTTCTCCAACATTTTGGGTATTTCGAACTGCAGATCGAGTTCCACCATGAATGCTATTTTCGGGGTCGGAACGCTAGTTCGCCTCGATGGCCACATGCGAATTATCATCAATTGGATCTATGGCCCGAGCTCCAACGGGATTGACTGGTGGCCTTTCATCCCCGGTCGTCAGGTTGCTGTTCTCATCTTGAAGGTCAGCTTCATTGTCGATAGGTAGGGCCATTAATTAAGAGTTCGTCGTTTTTAACCTGTAATCAAAGATACATCCAAAAGCAAGTGTAAAATGGTGTGTTTTGTAGAGATTCGTACCAAATAACCACTGTTATCCTTAGCCCCACAGTGGGCGCCAAACTGTTTACCCGAAAAACGGATAGAGTTGAATTTATACGTAGTTCTAAGGATACGTGGTATAACTTGGTACAAATTGGAAAATAAGTAGAAATATATCGAATATTGATTGTAAAAAAGGAATGAAATACAAACCCAAATTGAGTAGAGAATGGTCTATAAATGAACAAGATGAACCAATGTAAAAAGCCCTAAAGAAGGATAATGTTTACTATATGTATGTAAATCTCAATAATCTCTGAAATGTGAGAGTGTATTGATGTCTGAATGTTTAATGTGTGATGCCCTCTTTACAGAAATGATAGCCACTCTTAATATAGTGGAGGAATCCTACTTTGGATATTAAAAAATACATAGTGGGGATTCCATGATAGATTAGTTAAATAACTTTTCCTTAATTCCCGCCGAGATTCTCTCCCCTAGTGCGACTACAACAGCTTTTTGTCTCTTGGCTCGATCTTGGTCGGTCTTGGTATTGGTCGATCTCTGGATCTTGAGCTCGATATTGACACGAGCTCGATATTGACTCGAGCTCGATATTGACTCGAGCTCGGTATTGATCGGTCTCTGGCTGTTGAGCTCGAAAACACCACTTCACATATAGCTCGATATTTAACTCAAGCTCAATATTGCTTCGAGCTCGGTCTGGATCTCGAGCTCGATAACCCGGCTTCACATCATATCTCGATTTTATAATGACGACACTTGGTCCATTATGTTCCAAATTTGACTATTTATATAAAGGGCAAACTCGGTTTTGACCGTATACAAGGTGCATTATGAAAGTTTTCTAAAATAAAACTAGTTATACAACCAAATATGAAAACTCTATTGGTGCATTAATATCATTCTTCTAATACACCAAATCAAACCTGTCCTAGCTCGAGTGATTCACAACCTAAGGGTCTCAAATTTGATCTGTGAGGTATTAACTCTTGGAGAAGGGCTAAGAATGTTTAGCTCGAATGGCTAAAAGAAAAAAATTAGGTATGGATATTCATTCTTCTAGAGCAGCAAAGGCAGGGAGCAAGGCTTTTAACCAAATCGAGTAAGGGGACTGGATAGAGCTGTTTTTGGTGTTACAAATCATCTTGTTAAGTTCTAAATAATTTACTAATCAAAGATCTTGAAAACTGCTTGGAAATTTGTAAATATTTAAAAGCAAGAAATTTATAGAGAGTCAAGTGAAATGAGTATTATTATTAGCAAAGGAAAACAAATATTTGTGTCTTAAATTTTCAACAGTCCTTAGTCAAAACTCAAAAGCAAGACTTGTCACTTAATAAGTTTCACTCCTATAAATCAAATTAAAACGTTCCTTCGACTAGTCGTTCAAAAGAAGTCCACTAG